TGTTTCTTTTCTCGTTCTTCTTTTCTTTTTCCTCCAAGAACTGCTGTAATCTCTCTTCTTGTTTCTTTTCTCGTTCTTCTTTTCTTTTTCCTCCAACAACTGCTGTAATCTCTCTTCTTGTTTCTTTTGTCGTTCTTCTTTTCTTTTTTCTCCAACCATTATTGTAATCTCTCTTCTGGTTTCTTTTGTCGTTCTTCTTGTTTCTTTTCTCGTTCTTCTTTTCTTTTCCTCCAAGAACTGCTGTAATCTCTCTTCTTGTTTCTTTTCTCGTTCTTCTTTTCTTTTTCCTCCAACAACTGCTGTAATCTCTCTTCTTGTTTCCTTTGCTGTTCTTGTATTGCTGCCATCAAATCTGCTAAGCTGTAGTTTGATTTGCCACCTCTCGTTTCCATCTTCTTTTTTTAAATTTATTTTCTATCCCGCTTCTGACACCAATTTGTTACGTTTCTGTGTTCGTTTGTTAATTTTCCGTAGAAATTCTTTCCGATAAACTTCAGCGATACAAGTTCTTTCTTAAATAAAACTAGTTTATTCTTTCTCAACTCAACTTTGCAATACATTTAATTTCCACAGTCACTTTAACTTAACACACGCTATTATTCACAAAGATTCGCGCACTTTACTTGCCATCACTACCGCGCTTGACTCATTTGTCCGTCTCTGTCTGTCTGCAATTCTATTCTGATTAATTAATTTCGCTTTATCTGGCGCACTTATATACAAGAATAGAGGGCGCGCAGAAAAGACCAGAGTTGCCACGAACAGACATGATCCTTTTAGAGTATCATGACGTGTTACTAGTGTCACGTGACTTCCGCTGTCGTAACAATACTATGTAATAAACACCAGTGACTGTATGTGTCAAAACAACTTTAAATATCTTTTCAACTCAATAAATGGCGCTACAGTTCATTATTACTGATGTTTTACCCCTTTGGTGAAAAGGTTTAAAAATTAAGTCACAAAACATAACCATTTTTTTATGCTCTTCACCATCAAATTCTTTCCCATCCCAATTAACAAATCACAGGGCCAGACTTTTGACCTTGTAGGAATATTTCTTAGAGAACCAGTTTTTTCGCATAGTTCAATTTATAGGCTTTATAAATATATATATGCAAGTCAAAATTATAATCAAGAACCACATACATGAGATGACTAAATATATCCAAAAAATTATTTCTTGAAATACTAGAAAAAATATAAAAACTATATATATATATATATATTGTTACTTTAAGTTTCAGAAAACATGTTCATGAAACAGTTCTTTAGATTTGATTTTCAGAAGAAAAATTAAATCTGCATTCACCATCACATGATGAGCATTCAGCTAGTTTGAAAAGATACTCCAATATGCTCTTTGTCCTCTAAGCCCCCCAGTAACGTAGCAGCATGTCTGCGGACTTAAGATGCTAGAAACTGGATTTCGATACCCGTGCTAGACAGAGCACAAATATCCCATTGAGTAGCTTAACTATAAACAAACGAAAGCGTCTTATAATGTTTAATTATGATATTCCTGGGCTGATTCTCTTCTTTGAATTAATATATCAGTAGAATATTGTAACAGACAAAAACAAAACGCTGCAATAACGAGGGTCGAACAAAGAACAATATATTAAATTGTAAAAACGACAAAAATCCAAAATAAAACATTTAACCAACTGGAATAGAAGTTATTATATCCGTGCCTAGCCAGGACTTGATACAAGCGTTAATAGACAATATAACAGAATATCATGCTTATTAATTTAGATAAATAAAGGAACTTGGAAAAGGGTACCAGAAGAAGAAGAAGAAGAAACACAATATTCCAAAACTAAACCACTTCACAATCATTAACAATATTGAGCAACAATCAGCAATAATTCGTTCTAAATATATCTCGTAATCTAACTATTTTAAAATCAATGAATCATTTTTATATTGTGGTTCGCCAACGAGGTTACATCTCATGTGACTAGCTAATGTACAGAATAATAATGGCTGGAGACGGCTTAAATGGGTAATGAAGAAAAACTTTAATATAAGTTTAACATGACAGC